ATGGGTTTTACATACATCGATAAAAACAATCTGAATTTGTCCAGCCAAAAGGTCATGTTTTGTATTGCCTACTGTTTAATTTATTTCTTCAAATCAGTCTTAACATCAGCGAGTTACCAATAAGAAGGCGGTTGCGGTTACTGGAAACGAACTCCGGCTTTTAAGAACATTTTATTTTTTAACATCTACAAATGAGTATTGAAAGGCGCGTTTAGTCCATAGCAACTACGCTTTGAAACACGGTGAGGATAACAGGGCGGGGTTGTTAGTATAGAAGCAGCTGTCGCATTCGTTTCTGCGGACTTACAATTACTATGAAGAAGCTACTGTGGACAGCAGTTCGATGGGAAATATTCAATACCTTCCATCTCAAAAGACAGCAGCATACGTATAAAGACCATGAAAATTACCCCCCTCAACATCACAGAGAACAACATGGAAATCATGTGGGTTCAAAGACACCCAAAGATCCCCAGACCAGGGTTTGCCAACTTGTTTATAGCCAACGCCCACTTTTATCACTTTTAAGAGGTTGAACCTTCTGTACTGCCCACGTAGATGAGTTGTTTTTTTCCTAGCGAGGCATTTAATAAGCCCTGTCACTACCTTGGTGACCCCCACCGCCAACCAAAATTACCAAATCACCATATAATGTGCGTTATCACCCAGGTTGGCAAGCACTTCCCTGTGCTATATCGGACTGACTATTATCGCTTGAAGGTGTCTACCAAAGCAACAGGTATTGCACCATGGTTTTCTAGCGGGGAAACAAAGGCATTCTATGATTGCGTGCGTTTGACAACGCTTTTAGCGCTGTAAGGTAATCTAAGAGGCAAGTTCGCTGAACTAGACGTCCATCTCCAGTATGATCGAGCAAAGCGTGTGGGTTGCCTTAAAAACTCGGCTGAAAAGTTTCTACTCTCAAGAACGCATCATTAGTGATTCAAACCAAGACCATCCGCACCAAAGCCCTCTGTTATACCAGCTGAAAAAACAGCGTACCCCCAAAGTTCCCAGCCTTCGAGCTTTCTTATATTATGATTTTATAGTGCGTTTAACTTACGTTTGTTTATAAAAATGCTCCTGGACTGTCTCCCAGCTGTGACTTTCATTTGTTTAAGTGTAGCCTTCAAACCGAGCAGTCTACCTTTTCTTTTCTTTAACTCCTCTCAAAACGCTGACTGTAACAGATGTGCGCGCAACCAGCTTAACATAAAGACCCGTGCCACTCTCTCTCTCTCTCTCTTTCTC